TGTGTGTGTGTGTGTGTATATATATATATATATATATATATATATATATATATATAAAATATTAATTTTTGACTATTGAATCTTCACACTTAAAATATATATAGCTGCCTTTTAAATTTTAGGATCCTTCACACAAAAATGATTGATCTAGGATTTATTTAATTTTTAGTTTTTAAATTAAAATATAAATTTTAGGGATGAAAAGCTTTTCTTTTTAAACAATTTCTGCCTTTTAAATTTTTTTTAAAATCTTCATTACACATTTTCTTATAGCATTTTGACTAAGCCCCATGAAAAAAGAGAAAAAAATGGTTTTAATTAAAAACTTTTTTTAACTATAGAGGATTTCAAATCAGTGTCCATATCAGCTATAAAACAATTTCATAAATTCATATATCTGTACACAAAAATTGAGCATTAAGTCATTAAATCAATTGCATTTTATACAAAGTTAAGGTAACTTGTCTTGATCATTTACAGATGTACGTTAATATAGAATTTTTCTCTGCAGAGATTCCTGGCCACTTCAATGGCTGATTATACATTCTACTATATCCAGTAAGTACGACATTCATAAAATCTTCATAAGATCTTTCTATACCCTAGTAAAAAAGTAACATATTTAAAATACGTTTATGCCATACTAAGTAAAGTTCAAGTCTATTAACATATTTACTGACATATCGCTCAAGACTTACTGATATAAAACTTATAATTAAACTTTATTTGGAGTACTAGCCTACTTGTGCACAATGCACATTTATTAATATTAAGCTTTAAATTTGTTTTAATATCACTATTGATAAGGATTGTATGATCTTTTAATAATATCTGTCTTTAAATGCTAAAGTGTACCTGAAGTAGCCTATACTTGCAATAGTTCCACTTTAGCACAGTCAAATATACTTCAGCACTACCTGCACACAATTACAGTGCATTAAGCACAAAATTATTTGTTCGAATTTAACAGACTTTGGGTATAGGCCTACCAGTTTAGTATAGCAGAAGTACGGTTGCAGGGTATTTTTATTAAGCACATAAATGCGTAAATGTAAATGGTATGTTTATTTTTCACTAGGGTATGTAGGGAATACATTGAAGTGAAGGTTGTATGTCTGATGCTGTGCAGGACGTGGCTGACGCCGCTGCTGGGTCTGACTGTGAGTCTGTGCATACTGAGGTACTGCTGCAAAATCTGCAGTAAAGTCTCAGACACTGACTCAGTTCTGGACCTGTCAAACAGCGACCATGTCTATGTGATTCCCAACCCCATTCATGTGAGAGAAGAGAGAGACGAACCAGATGAGATAAGCTCTCATGATGACTCTGAGTTCACACCGCCACCATATGAACTAGAGTGTCCACCACCGTCATATGCAGAGGTACGTCTATCTAGCTGTCTGTCTATCTAGCTATCTAAAAAGTCGTCGCTTGTCTATTGGCTGATTTTTGGCAGGTTTTGGGTACCTTTCAGCAGGTCAGAGTTGCACATTAGCTCAAACCAGCTATGACCTGTTTAGGACAGCTTCAGCTAGTTTTATCTATTCTACAGAATATATCACTTAATGTATGTTGAAATGCTGTTTCAACAGACTTATAATATTTGTAATTGTTTTGTTTTTTTTACAGTCTAGCGTTAAATTAAATATTTCTGATGTTCAAGTGACTCCAGACACTTCCGACGTGCCACCGCCACCGTACTGCCCACCTTTAAATATGATGTCACAATCATCCAATCAACAATAGACACTTCTGAATATATATTTTTGTTTGTGTGATAACTAATACATGTTTTTATTCTCATAACTGGAATTGTGAGTGAAAGTTCGCACCAAATAGGCAGTTTGTAAGAACAAAAAAGTGTACTGCTTTTGTGAACCACGTGAAGAGGAGTGGCTGAAATGTAACCATATTTCCATGTATTATGTAAATCCTGGGTAACACTTTACTTGAAGGGGTGTGCATAAGACTGACATGACACCTTCATAATCATGACATGACACGTCATGAATATGAAGGAGGTTTTATGCATGTTTATGACAACTGTCATTAAGTGTCATTCGCTCAGTTATGTAATTTTTAATGCAAATATGACATTATTTGACCTAACCCTAACCTAACCCTACCCCTAACCATAGCCCATAACAAAGACATCTCAAACAATGTCATCTTTGCATTAAAAATGACATAACTGAGCGAATGACACTTAATGACAGTTGTTATAAACATGCATAAAAACCTTCATATTCATGACATGTGTCATGTCATGATTATGAAGGTGTCATGTCAGTCTTATGCACACCCCTTCAAGTAAAGTGTAACCAAATCCTGAATAACTGAATTACTTAGAGTTAGTAAAATGCTTACGTGGACTATCAAAATAAAGTGCAACCAGATAAATTCTAAAATTATTGCTATATATTAAATATACGCTTTTACTGACATGTTTCAATGGTGTCAGATAGAGCTAATAAAAAAGTAAATGTAGCACCATGTTAAAGCAGGTATTATGTAGAATTTAAGACATTCTTTTAGCTTCATTTTGGATAGATTATTTATTCCAGGACTGAACTTCCAGTGCTTTCACCTAATTAGTTATTGCTTTGTTTGTGTTAATCATAACTTGAACGTCTGAACTTTTCTTTGACACACACAGACACACGCAATGTTGGATGCAACTTCTGTAGATGAATTTGTAGCGTTAAATCGCTATATGAAAATATCGAAGTGAGATGAGATGTGAATGCATGTATTGTGAATATTTTGAAAGGT